AGAGAGTTGGGATTTTTCAGCCTGGAGAAAACGAGGCTCCGGGGAGATCTAATTGTGGCTTACTGGTACCTGAAGGGGGCCTACAGGAAAGCTGGTGAGGGACTGTTGATCAGGGAGTGTAGTGACAGGACAAGGGGTAATGGGTTCAAGCTGAAGGAGGGTCGATTTAGATGAGATGTTAGAAAGAAATTCTTTACTGTTGGAGTGGTGAGGCACTGGAACAGGTTGCCCAGAGAGGCTGTGGATGCCCCATCCCTGGAAGTGTTCAAGGCCAGGTTGGATGAGGCTTTGAGTAACATGGTCTAGGGGAGGGTGTCCCTGCCTGCAGCAGCAGTGTTGGAACTAGATGATCTTTGAGGTCCCTTCCAACCCAAACCACTCTATGATTCTATGATCTTACCTCAAGAACAGAAAAGTTTCTGAGCACTTCACTCTGAACAAATCTTTTCCTCTAACTTACATGTTAGCCATCTTTGCCCGACACAAACTCCCTACCTCCCCCCGCCAAAAGACAAATGCTCTGTCTAAATGAACAAGAAAGCCTTCTCACACTAGCAAACTAATTCGGTCCAAATCTAGAACGCTATCAGCAATACCAGCTCTTTTGCTGAAGGGTTATTATGTTAAGTATTACAATACTGTATGTGCAAATTTTCCATTATGGCAACATTTTGCTTTTCCAGTGTTCTTTTAAGGATTTGTTAAGCAAACATAACACAGCAAAACAACACTGTAAGACTATTGCCCATAACTGTAAGCCCAGAACAGCTTAAGTTTCAAGACTGGATGACAGCGCTCACAACTTGCTACCTCCTGTATAAACGTACTATACAATCCATGCTCCAAACAGCACGCATTCTGAATAGATAAATCTGCAAGGGTGAGAAGGATGAAATGTGTCAAGAGATAAAGTGCAATACAACACCTGATCAAAAGCAAAGATAGTCTAATCCCTGTGCACTGCCCTATCTGCAGGACAACACAATCTTTCATTTTAAATTCTGACATCACGAGCTGATACCCAGGCTTTAGGTATCAGAACTTCTACCTGTTCTGTATTCTCAAAAATAGCTCCGCAAGCAAGAAAGACAGTCTGATATTCAATCCAGTTTCAAAGAAGCTAATGAATGAGTATTTTCAAAAGCAGTATGTCTGAACTACTGGTGGAACAATCATATTGCAGATTTACTGTTCTTTTACAAGCAGGTGCACTTACACATACCAGGAGTGATACATTTGCACTTCAGCACAACACACCACCTCTCCACTCCCCCCACCCTGGACAGTGTTTTAACAGACTTCCTTCCCACCTTACGAACCAGAACAACAGAAAACGACCAAATAGGATGCTTGTAGACAAACCTTGGATTTGAACTTCATGATCTTATACTTCGGTGAAATGCAGTCATTAAATTCCTTGAAAACACTCATTATAGTTACCGGAGTCTCCGTCTCTTTGCCAGTGGATAGGTCAATTTCCTCAAAAACAGAAGTCAGGTTTACAAATTAACAAAAAATGTCTGCAGTCATGACCAATATGTTGTATTTTGCTTTGCTATTTTGAATTATGTATCTCTTCTTTAAGGGAATACTACAATGCAATCAGCCAAGAACCCCCAAATTAAAAAAATATTATTTGAAACAGAGTGTTTAAAAAGCACTAAGTTTTCTAATAATATTTGAAGACAACTTTATTTCCTAAGCAGCAAGCCTAAAGGTAACAATTTGTCTGCAATTTTAATTAGGGTTGGGGGGAAAGCAGCAACGCTCTACTCTGCGTCTCACATGCAATACACTGTGGATATGTTGTACTTAACTTTGCAACCTACATCAGACAACAGAGCGTCAACAGTTCCCATAAACACACTACTAGAACTCATAACCCACCATAAGCAGAATGAAAGGTATTTACGTTTGACATGCTCAAAAGATATACTTACTGTTTCACGTGGCAGTAGATAAACAGTTCTCTCAATATTTTTCACTGTCACACAACAGCTGACATAGGTGTTTGCAGATTCAATCCAAACTTTCCCAAACAAAAATACCACACCTAAGGAAGAAAGGCAGAGCAAAGAATTCAATATGCAATTCTTTAAAATTAATTATTCTTAATGTTGCTTAAAGCAGCTTATTATGTATTCTTGCATAGAAACATAACCACTTCTGGTTTGGGTCCTTGAACAACAAATCTTTCCAATGTATCGGCACATTATAAATCATGTTAAATACCAGCTTTGCAAATGGATACCTGTATAGTTCTTCACGCTCCTATCTCCATCACTATAGTAACAACACCTTGATATGTGAAATTCAAAATGGCATCACACAGCCAGTCTCAGAATTCTGTTCTGATATTCCATTTCTGCCTACATTAGTTTGATAATTCATGGGGAGGGGGAGGAAGGAGAGAGAAGTCAGTGAAAGCTGAAGATAATCAGAATGCCTGTGCTGTCAATCACTCCTGAAACATGTGTCACATAGAATTTTTCATTCTCCAGCTAGACCAGTACAATTAAGCCATTTTTCCTACATTTCATTACCATGAGATCAAGACTCTACTACTAATAAAACCCATAGAAATACATTCTAAAGGTAACAACTAGAAGCTGATTGACTGTAAAGTTTTCAACTTACTATTTTTAACAAATGATGACACAGAAAGATGTATGACATCACAAGAAATCCTGGATGCTAAGACAGCAGTTGTAACCAAGGTAGACATCCAGAAAGTCTATACACAACAGGACTAGTGCAACTGACTCCTTACTGTGGATCACGTCATTATTGTACACGCACATCTCTGAGCCACAGAGATTTAGCACAGAAATTAGCACAAAATGCTGCAAGCTGCTAATCAAGTGATGTTGAACTTTGAAATAACATGGAACAAGGCTAGCTTTCATGCACAGTTTGTAAATTACAAGTAAAATAAACTTCCAAGTACAACTCAAAAACCTGGCTTCACCTGAGCTCTCTTGTCTCAAATTCCAAATTATTTGGAATTTGATTACGTGAAAGTCCTGCTCCCCACAGCACGCTACTATTAATGGCATCAGAAATATCAGAGCTGAGACTGTCTCAGAAACAGTGTTTCACATAGGAAGATTTTGAAACCTGCATTCCTCCTTGGTCTGACAATGCAGAAACACGTCCTTGGTTAAGAGTTATAATTTATCTTTGCCACGCAATCTATCAGATGTAAAGGCACCTTTTGTACTCCATTAGATCACAGATAAATCAGTGAAGACGCACTAAGACGGATGACAGAGTTAGTGCGACAGGCTAAGAAAAATCATTTCTTGAGTGCTTGGAATAGATGTGAACAAGACTACTTTTGTCAAGGACAGAGAAGAGAATGCTGCAGTTTTGCAGATGATGAGAGCAAGGATACAAGTTTCAGCTACTCAAAGTATCTTAGAGATTTTAAATACAGAGGCAATCTTCAAGATTTAGACAGTTTGAATAAAAGGATCTAGAAAGAGCTCAAATTACAGATCTAAGTGACAGGGAAGATAAAGTTCTTGTCCCCAGTATTTTTTTTCCTTTTTTAAAGGGATAAAAAAACCTCAGGTTTGTATCACACAGAAAGATGAAACTATGGGAGAGACCACAAAACAGGAGGTGGTTGCTTGAACAGCTGGCAATATTAAGAGCATGGAGAAGTTAACCTGTCAGAGGCATACATACAAGCAGGTGAAGTAGAAAGAAGGCTACATGAGCCAAAGACAGGGTAAGAGGTTGCCTGGATTGCGAAGACAAACTTCAATCAACTCTAGCATGGACAAATAAGTGGTCTTAATCCTCAGATTTCACAGAATCAGAGTAATTTAGGATGGAAGGAACCTTTGGAGGTCACCTAGTCCAACAATCACACGCACATCACCCCACACATACACACAATGAAAGCAGGGCTAACTTCAAAGAGTTTTCAGAGATATCTCACGTGTAAAACCAAGAAATGAGAGAAGCAATATCAGGACCTATCCCCTGTAAGCCTGATTATGGAAAGAAGAAAGAAAGAAAAAAAAGGAGTAAAGCTTATAAAACACAAAGTCTGTGAAAAGAAAGAACACATTACCAACAAATCAAAAAGCAAGCGAAGTCAAAAGACAGGGAAAATGTCTTGCAGAGGGCAAAGAAAGGGCAATTTTTATTCGTTATTTCTTTAAAATGTTAATAGGATTACAATTCTCAAGTTCTCTGCCTAAGACAGTAAAGGGAGTTATGTAAAGTAAGCCTCCAAAAAATCATTAAGTTTGAAAGAGTCTTATGATTATGCTATAGTATTTACTCTTCAGGCAATGCATTTGACATCACAGCAAATGAGGCATAAACAAAGATCATGAACATGTTAAACAAAAAGCAATACCAAAATTTTCCCTTCTACACTACTAATTGAAAACAGGTGCAGCCTTTATTATTCAATCCTGAAAAAGTCATAATGAGAAAAGAACACTCCTTGCATGCGAGGAACAGAAATCCTTTCATAATTATGTTCCATTCAGCAACCACTGACTTAGAAGACAAAAAAGAAAGAAAAAGAACAATAGTGGGGTCTTTAAAAGTAGCAATTTTATATTAGAGCCATTGATTTCATCAAGATATCTATGATTATTACCACTCCCATCACTAAGCTGTTCAGCCCAGCACAGTCTCATATTTAAGTTTGGCATCCCAACTCATAACAAGAGGTGTAACAGAGAAACATGTCTGACTCAATGCTTACAGCATCAACCCAAAAAACCTTCAACAACATATGGAAGAACCTTCTGGTAAACCTATGTGAAGCACAACTTAGAAATCCAACATCCTAAAGCTGTTGATGAAATGAGAGGATGGATGGGAAGTGCTTAGAACAGATGTGAACATGACTTTTGTCAGGGCTGAGATCTGAATGCTGCAGTTTTGAAGACTATGAGAGCCAGGATTGACACTTCAAGTGCACAAAGTATCTTAGGGAAAGGGATCTAGACAGAACATACATTTTTCAGGCCACCTTTCTCCCTTGATAGGCAAACCTTTCTTTCATATAAAATCATGCAACTGCTACTGTACAGCCTTTCTAATAATCCACCAGAATTTTAAGTTACTTTTCCAGAAAGAAGAAAGCACGCTCAATTGTTGCACCACTGAGTAAGAAGTTAACAATACCAGCTTATTCCTGGAGCACACAGGGTTTTAAGAAGGCCAATGCATCACTAATATTGAGAATTGCTAGTAGCTCCCTTTGTACCTCCCTACTATTATAATTAATAGACCAAGAGACAACATCCTTACATTGTGCAGGCACAGCGCCCTGCACTGAGGACAGAGGTGCGGAAAAACAGGAGATCAATGTACAAGTTACAGAGCACAGAGAGACAGGGTATCTAGACATAATTTAGGCAAGTCTGAAAATCCCAGTTACATAAAAATAATCAGAATGGCATTTTCTGCCTTTAACTGAATAATTACCTGGCTGACTGTACTGATCTTCGTAAGCATCCAGCCAATAAAATCTTAAAACTTGATCATCATTTTCCCCATTCACAAGCGGAAGGAGATTGGGGTCCAGCTGAACTTCTGCCACTACTAGATCAGCTTCGTCCTCATCAATTCCATCCCAACACGAGATATCTGGGAGCGAACTTCTGCAGGTTTTGCAGAAGAAGAAAGAAACAAGAAGTAAAATTCTGCCTTTGCTATAACCACCACCACTTCACTTTTTTTCAGCCCTATATTCTCAAGCCTTTTGTTGCTCTTTCCACTACTAACAGACGGGTTTCCTCAGATTTCTTCTGAAATGAAGGATGGAGTGACAAAGAGAGAAACCCACATACAAGTACAATTCTCAGTACACAATGCACAGGCTTTAAAAGTCATTCACCTGGTATTTCAGCCTTGGTCATTCAAGCCTTTACATAACAAATATATCCATCTGTACAAGTTGCTCAGTAGGAACAGATTATTTCAACAAAACTACCTTTTCAGTCATTAAAGATTTAAGTCTTTTTAATCATTCAAATATTTTACAGTTTAAAGTTATGGAAAGATATGATTCAAGATTCTTCCACACAATAGAAAGAAATGGGGGAACCCCACCTTTTTTCCTATTTCCTAAGACATGGCTGGTCACCATGTGAAATTACTTTTAGTGACAATACTTTTAACTACAACTACCGTTATGAAATACTTCCACAGTCGCTTAAAATAAGCATCGTTAGCCATTCCTCAATTTTGGTTATTGGCATCAAAATTCATTGTTTAACACTCACATTGAGTCATCTCAGTGTACTGAAATACATGTTATGCTGTCATGTGCTAAATCCAAGAACATAAAGTATTTTTCAATTGAGTAGCTATTACTACATTCAACATTACCATTTTTAATGTCACTAGGAAAAAAAAACATTGCATAGCATTATCATCATTCTGTCTGTATCATCCCACTGGCAAAAACAAATATGAAGATATATCTAAGCCTTACTGGTGGAAGAAAAAAAAAAAAAAAAAAAAGACTCTTACAAGACAGATGTCTCTTTCTTCTCTGATCCCAGCTGCTCTGTCTCTTTCTTTTCAATTTCCTTGTGTCTCTTCAAGCTTTCAGCTGTCTCAGGTACAGCTTCCACATCCTCTGCTTCCATAGGTTCATCAAAGTCCTCCTCATCAAAATCCATCATTCCCTGATCATCATCTGGAAGTGTTGCACATAGAACTAAAGGATTGAGTCATTACAATCACACACTGTATGCTACAGCAGTATGCAGATAGCATACTATATGCATGAACATAATACAGAGTATTAATATACAAACAAAACATCGCATTTAAGCTAAGCATCTAACTAGTATAAACTAAGAAGTGTTTTAACACTAAAATGCCATTTTTAAAGAGCTTCCAGAACTGGGTTTTGATTTCTCTTTGATACCTTCAATAGCTTTCTCTTCTATTGTCTTCACTATTCCCCCATTTTCTGTAGCTTTTTGCACATGCTTGGTATCCTCATTTTCAGAGACTATGACAGATTTTGCTGTGTAATTCGGATGTTTAGGATGAAATGAAGATGGAGGAAGAGCTTCCTTTCTGAGATGAGGAGGAGCTTTCTTTGATATAGGGGTGATTACCTGAAAGACATTTTAGCCACAAGTTGAAAAAATTCTCTTAAGAGCAAAAAAAGGAGGGAAAAAAAAAAATCTAGCACTCACTATTTGCAGAACTAGTAACCAGGGCTAGAGGAAAAGCTCCACATATTTTGCAGCATGATAGCTAAAACTCCTCAAAAGTAAACTTTGAATTCTACAGTATCATTTCTGCTGCAATGTGTTTCTATTGTAATTTTTACAAGCAGTTTATAACAGGCCATGGTTGACATTTAATGACGTTTGGGGTTACTTTCACTATTTTTCCCACATAGTGCTACTCCATTCCTAAATTAAAAACTGTGTGTCAACTGAATATGTGATAATGTATATCAGGCAGGGACAGAGCCTGGAACAACTGGGGAAGGCCAATATGGCAGTTTACACCTGTTCATAGCCGTAATGAGTTCAAGATGTCTACCGGATACCATGGGTCCACAGAACAGAGCGCTCCTCCACTGGATTTCTTCGTGCTACAGACATGACAGGGAGAGTGAGGAAAACAAAGAAACCCCATTTCAGCACACTCTTGCAAGCCTAAACTCTGAGGCAATAAGCACAGAGTTTGTTTTTCAGACAGGATACCACTATGGCACTACAGAACCTCTGCTTATGGAAGATGTGTATGAAGTGGCCTCCACCATGACCAACAACAGGTCTCTGCATCCACTGGCCCTTAATCTGCAGCAAGGTCCAAAACCTTTCTCTTTGGGGAAAGCCGTTATTTACAGACATGGAATATAGAGTTGCAGTCATTTCTAGGGTTTTAATCTCAGTACAGCTATTTCTGCTGTGGGCAACGCCAGTCTTAGCCCTTCACGCACCTTAAATAGAAAGCAAACATTACTTCATCTACCTTCACAATTTTTCGCTAGCTCAGCCAAATGAATTTATTCATACTTATATTTCTGCTCGTCTTGAAAGTAGAAAGCATCACTGCCATCTTGCTTTTTATGCCCACTTATTTTCTAAGGCTGCACTCTTCGTTCTCTTCATCTGTTTCATCATCTAAAATCTCCAATTCCTCCTCCTACGACCACAGAAGGTATCATCTGAACAGCCTATCTCAGAATTAATTTCCTTCTCAATGTTTCCTACTAAGTGACCACTGTTTTGCACCACAAAGACCCTCTCTTACTTTATCTCCCCGTTTTTTTCTTTTTCAATTATTTCCAGGCTCCAACACAACTGTTGAAATGAGTGCCACTGTTGACTATTTTCAGCATAAGAGCTGATGTCACTATTACACAAGGCTTCACAAATCAGCTTTATCTACTCTACTCCATTTGCCCTTTACACACTCTTACCAAATATCTCATTGTATTTCCAGTTATAAAGTCCTTCTCATTTACCAGAACTCTTAACAAAATGCTAGCCTTCCACCCTTAGCAGCCTGTCCCTCCTTTCACTCCAAAATATTCCACTAGGGTAAACTTCTATCCATAGCTTCAATTTTCCATTTGCTTTCCATTTCTGCAGAAAGTTAGTTTCTTATCCTATACTCTTTTTTCTGCTTATTTCACTTTCCATCATCCTTTCCTTGCCATAGGGTCTTTTCTGCTCTTAAGAAATAAGAGACAAAGCAGCTCACCTTCATGTGATGCACCTAATATTATAAAAAGTTTTGCCTGTCAAATGTAACAGCTACATACTACTACTACACTAAAGATACAGAAAGAGTTCTATTCTGTTTATGTATTAACATGGAAGGGAAAGACGAAAAATGCCTCAAGTTACACAGTAACATTGCTAAGGAAGCTAATGAGAAAAGTAATTTCTAGAAGGTGAAATAAAAGACAACAGTATTCAAATCAACCAAAATACAGATTAATACTTATTAATGAGAACTTTTTTGATTTATTTACCTTAGGAGTTTGAGACTGCACAGAGAAGGGATTCAGTGGTACTCCAGCAGATCTTTTCCTTTTCAGCATTATAATTGGTGGTGGACTTATCTGAACAGTCTAAATATTGAAAGAAAAGAGAAAGCAACAAAATGAAGAAGTGTTGTTTCATGTTTTCTTTTGCCTTGGTTAGTAACGTTTTCCAAAGAGAAAGAAGGCCACCGGTATTTCCCATTTGCCAGGAAAACACACCTCCTAATATACAACTCAGCTACAGAAAAAGAAGTCATCTGAGCAATCAGCCCATGAAGACAGACACTAGAATTTTTTTGGTAGACAGTTTGAGAGAAAAACTGTCATGCATAAGTGAAATACTTTTCAAACAGTGGCCATTTCAGTAGCTAACTGTGTCTTCAAGGTACAAGTATCAGAATAACTGGTGGGATGTTCTTCCTGCCTGCTGAAACAGTAGTACTGAGCACACATGCCTTAAAGGCGGAAGTGTTCCTTCAGCACTGTCACACTAGAGAAAAACCCATTTTAATTTATTTACATGTACAGATATTTTATACTCATCCTTATCAACAGCTAATAACAAAAGAAATTTTAGAGAACAACAAAGCCAAAAAAACCAATAGCTAACTACTATTTAAGTAAATAGAAGCCATAGTGTAATTATTAACATTATTTCCCCTAATCAATGCTCCACAAAATGTGACAGCATTAAAATGCATTTGCTTAATGATTTGATGGGTTTTGATAGCCTAAGACATTATAACTCTCAATCAGATGTCATAGGGAGGAGTAAAATAGTAAGCACACAAAACCAAGAGAACAACTTTACATTGGAACATCTACACCCGTCTCACTGCTCTGTAAAAACACATTATGCTTATTATGACACAACATATTTCACTATCTCACCACTACAGTGGTTTCATGTTTTACATGTGAGTAATCCTTTCAGTTTTAAGAAATCCTGCTAAGGGGCATTAACTCATTGAAAAGTCCTTAATGACAACAGCCTCATGTGAGACAGTCCAACCCTGCTATGGCAGCCATCCTGCACTCCTAACTCAGAGGAAGTGTTAATCTGGTTCTCTGTAGCAAATTGTGGAAAGCAGGAGGAGGCAGACACAAGTTCAGGCTACGTCATCTGCTGAGATAGTCCTCCCTCAGCTTCTCTCCTGAACCCAAACACGCCAGAGTCCTCCCTCAGCTTCTCTCCTGAACCCAAACAAGCCAGATGGAAACGTCCTACAGTATGTTGGCTGGACCGTGGTAATATACATCCATGGTATACACGATTCAGATGCAGATAAGTCCTGTTTTACTCCAAGCTGACTAAAACCTAGAAGGCTGCATCAGCACAGGCTCTACATCACATTAACATAAACCAGCTCTAATCAGGAGATAGTAGTTTTGGCTTATCGAACCAATACAGTCATGCAACTTCTGCATGGTGGAGATGACAGGCAGACTGCATACATACGTGGAATACACCAAGTAGATGTGCTATGGAAGAAATCAATCTTAGATGGTATAGTTTTAGGAAGAACTATTTTCTTGATGTGTTCCACGGCAAGAAAAATGAATGCACTAAGGTGTTTCAAGCAGTTTTTATTAATATACTCACTTCAGCATTAAGATCTTGAAGAATATCCCCTAGTAAATCATCCTTTGACAGGTCCACAATTTTCTGTAAGATAACACATTAGCCAAACAGTTCTTAGTTATACGTGCAAATGCAATCAGGAGACAGAAGCAAAGGACTAAAGGGTTTCTACAAAACACATACAACATTTTGAATGCCCCCTACACAACAGATTGTAATAGGAGTTTATGTCTTGCTACACACAAGAAAATTAAATGAGCCCTTGCTTTATTCTACTCCCACTGAAACACTGCAAATAGGTTAGAAAACTTTAAATTCAAAAATGTAAAAACTTACATCTGTGTTTTTCTTCCCAGCATTGGCCATAAACATAGACTTAATTGTCTTTGGCTTTGACACCACAGATTTTTTCACGTTCTTTTTACCAGCCATAGATGTTTTGCCACCTTTTCCTACAAAAAACATAAAATTGTGAATTCTGCATCAGAAAAGCTCAATGTTTAAGAGTCCAGATATTAGCAGGAATAGATAGCTGTGGTAGTCTACTTCTTTCTTTCTTCCACTTTTACACTGCTGGCTGAAATGAAGCCTAACCATCTTTCATTTGCTGTCAGGTTTCTAACAGCTGTCATGTGCACACACCAGGAAAAAAAAAAGAAAAGCAAAACCCCATCAGCACCCTATCTTTCATAGTCACATCAGAGATGCTCTTTGCATACTCAGGTTCATACTACAGAAAAGGACCAAGATACTTTACATGGAAGCATGTCCAAAAAAAACCTGCGAGTGTCCATGAGTTTGGCACTAGGCTTGGATTCTCAACATCAAACTCAATTTCTCAGTTTACCACCCACTTCATAAAAGTTGGCAAAATCATTTGACCCCAGATCCTTAAAAGCATACAAGTATTTTAGTGACAAGAGAGACTACGCATACTTTAGACACTGGCTTTGGAAACCAAGATCATCGCTAGATGCATTTGTTCTAGCAATGAATGTATATCCCACAGAAGACTGTAAGCAAAATTGCCCAGTAGTGCTGAAGTGGTTAGCAGTGATTTGACCTCAGTTTGTGGACCTCTATCTTCTGCATCACGGAGGCTAAACAAAATCCACAGTTACCAGAGCTTCAAGTCACATGTCATTTGACCATATTCACTACAATACTAATGCCAAAAAGCTGCCTGTTTTAGATACCTTTTAAAAGCCACTGGAAGACTTCCTGGAGCAGTCATGGTCAACCTACCTTTCTTATTGGAACCAAGAGCATCATCATCCAGATCTTCATCAAAGATTTCCCTTCCATCTTCTATATAACCTACCCCATCTGTAGAAAAACAAATTGTTAAAAATTTACGTTTTAAATTCTGTCTTCTGATATTTTAAAATATATTCATAATCCAAAGTTTTACATATTTAAATACTTCTTCCCATATAATACAGAGCAAAAGTTATAAATGCAAAAGTGCTAAAAACTATAGCACTCAGCTGTATAATTTATTAGACTAAATATATTATTACGTATTTAATTAGAAATTATCAATTACAGTACTTCTTTTTAAAGTTCTATCACCGATAACTGGAAATAAAATTTCAAAAACAGTTCTTAATGGAAAAATATTTTCATTACCATCCTAACACACTACTATGAGAAAAATGCAAAAAATTCATTTCCATATAAAAGCTTATCTTTTTCTTGTCTCCTAAAACAATTTGTAAGAGTACTAACTATAACTTACCTCAAATCATGCACATTAGGAAGTCTAACTGAGTTATAATAATATTACCAAAATAACTCTCCAAATGAATGTGAACTTACCATCATCGACAATCCAGTCATCATCCTGACGTTCTCGGACCATCTTGGAGTATTCATCTTCATCTATTTCATCATAAACACCTGTGAACTCTTCAACCTACAGTTAAGGTATGGGAACTGTTAATCCTCAGTATACCATTACTGATTAATATAGGTCATCAGTAAGAACATAAAAGTTCCCAAGAAATGCACAGTTTCCTACACTGTTACATTGTTCATAACTAGTAAGCACACTTATTCGTTCAATTTAAGATTCTTTTTTGGCAGTGACAAAAGACACAGTATATTGAAACTCAAAATCTGCTGAAGCACTGGGAGAGATTTCATTTGAAACTGACTTGCTTTATGGCTCATTTCACATGACACCACCCCCACTCCCCCCACCCCCAAAAAAACACCAAAAAAATAAAAATCCTAGCAATTGAGACTTCTAACCTTTGGCTCTCATCTCAAACCCCAAGATGAGTTCAATGAAAAGGAAGGTGATTTGATGTTCCCAAGCATAATCTGAAAATGCCCTTTTGTGCCTCAATTTGCATGTTAATGTGCTACACACTTCAGGCTTTAGATTTATCCACCTCAACGTGGAAGTCACTTCCTGTTGGCATTACAATTAATTGGACAGCATCAATGTTACACTGCCAGACTTCAGTTCTACCAGTTAAATACTTACGTTTTGTCTTTTTCTGGAAGCACAGCATATCAATATTAATACTTTTCAGTCATGTAAAGCTTTGAAATTCATTTAAAGTTTAAAATCATTTGAAGTTTAAAAAAAAAGTACTTCCCATCATAACATTAATTACAGAATTAAATTTTAAAAGTTGGTCCTTCCCTGTGGGATAGTTATCAAGCAATATCAAGCAGGTTTGACTTGCAGTTAATAAAACTGTTCTAGTTTTGAAACCAGGAAGAAACAAATAAATGATACTAGAAAGCAGCAAAACAATTGCAGTTACATTCTGAAAAACATACACTGTTAAAAAACAAAAGCTGATCTGAAAGGCAGATTTTGTTTCCCGTAACTTTTAGGTATGTAAAAACGGTAGTTAAGCATCTCAGCTCACGTTCACTTTTTATTACAAAGATGAGGAATTTTCACCTCGTATTTTATTTTTTCACCAGCTTTGGCTTTTTTCAGACGTTCCAGTGCTTCTTGCTGGCCTCTTCTAGACTTCTTCTCACGTCTAGAACGTGATGCTGCAAAACTTCCAGATTCATGCATAGCTGCAATTAATTAAAAACAAGAGAAATAAGTCTAGTAATGAGCTGCTGTTACCTTTGGTACTTAGTGTTCAGTGATGTATTAATAGATGGCTGCAGTTTTGCTTAAAATGAACATAGAAACCTCCTTGGCTAAAAGCACACAGATGGCTCTTGATAAGCCGACTCTGGAATTATACTGAAGGCATGGTCTCAGACAGAGATCAGACTTCGTGCCAGTTCACACTCAACAAGAAGCTACCACCTAGATTTCCAAAGCACCTCTCAAATCCCATCAACCCTTATCTGAAAAGGATCCC